TCATCTTGACCCGCATAACATTGCTTATTATCATTATAGGAAATTGCAGGACGACGAGTTGCTGCAGCGAGAGCGCTGCAATGATAGCAACATCAATGATAGAAACAACAATGACGATAATGTATGTGATGATGAGGATGACGATGCTGGCTTCGTTGACGGCAGTAGCGACAATAGTGACGATGGAAAAGAAAACTCCACCAATACGAACAACAGCAATGAAGACGACGACGATGATTATGAAAGGGTAACGTTTATGGTGGTAAAACGGTAGATGCCTGTTTTCTTGACGATCATGTGTAGAATAAGCTATGTCAGCGAAATATCACACTAGCTGAACTGATAACCGAGAAGACTACACAACACGATACCGTATTATACGAGGTGTGTGTATAGGCTATATGATAGATGTTGGAATAGAAATATTGGGGTGAATACAAATAGACTTTATTCTTAACTCACCACCGTTTATTTACCCTCATGATCCTAATACCGACAAGTATACTATTGTTATTTTATAATACAGAGATGGTTTTATCGCATTTGTAGAGGTCACGTTATGAAAGATGTCTCTTCACATGAATGCAACTCTGAATAGGATGCGAAATATCCTATGATACCATATTGTAATCTTGGTCTATATAGCATTGCTTGCTGTTGATATTTATTGGTAGAAGATGATGGTGTACATTACCGGGTAAACAGATAGGAAGACGTGTGGGTGTAAAATACAAACAAGCGTTATGTTAAAATGTTATTTTATTAACATCTGTTATTGGCGAATAGATCCTTGCGATCGGCGTAAAATACTGTAGATATTGACCGGCATCTATATTCGCTAGGCGTCTACTGGTATTGCTATTACTATCGGTCTCATTGGCGATATCGTCAGCGCCATATTTACCGACTGCGATAGTCACCCGATATTTTCGGAGTACGGTGAGACGAGAGACTCTTAACGTTAACTGTTCCTTTCGATAGAGATTGTATACACTGTACGTCTCTTAACGGCTGCGACTCGTTATAACGGTTGTCGGCGACAGCGGTATTTTTTTGTCGCTTGATTGGTCGGTCGTTCTCTCGCAAGGGAAAGGGCAATCTATTCCTTCTGAGAGTAACACATACGTTTGAGAACTTTCTCAACACATCCACAACCTTTGTCTTATCTGCTTCTCGTTCAACGCCCTTTAAGAATGATAAAAAACCAGTTGATCTGATGTCGTTATCGGTAGCGACTTCCCTTTGCGTATTCGATAAAAATAGCCTGTTGAACCATATATTCGTTATGGTTTCGTTAACCAGTAAGGGCAATATGGTGTTCATAAAGGTTCGAAGCTTCCGTGATTATCCTTGACGTAGCTGCAGTGTCCCCTGATGGTCGCATGACGATACTGTGGCGTACCGACATGCGGCTCACACTCATTGGCTAGGGTCTCTATAGCTCTGGAGATCGCAGCGTATTTTCTGGATCCGCTGAACTTGAACGCGGGAAAGTATTTGTGTGTATTGTCTGTCATTCTCTCTTTAAATGCTATCACGTCGTTTACTACCCGTAAACGATCGGGACAGACACTGTCGTCTATCTTCACGAGAGCGTCCAAGTAATCTATCAGCGATTTGTTCAATTGCTTGTCTGTTTCTCTATCGTCTTGATCCACACGTACGACTCTTTATCGACTATGTGCACGCAGACGTCCATGAAATATCGTTATCGTCATCACACCGTATGAGGATGTTTGTGGCTCTAGCACGAAGAACCAATCCGTTTTCTGTTTTGGTAGAATCGTCCTTTATCTTCTTTCTGTATTTTGACAGGACGATTTTGATCCTTTCGTTCTTTCTTGATGTCTTAATTCTTCTCGAAATACTCTCAATCTCGTCGGCTGTGAAGAAAACGCTCGTTGGATCACCCGCAAATTGGTCGTTGAGATTTTTTTTTATTGCGCGAGAGGAAGAGAAACGAAAAGGGCTTCACTCTATTTTCCAATAGGCGGCGGCGAATCCGTATAGACTATTTTCGCAACTTTTGCAGTCTTCTGCAAGTAGTACATCTCTATTAATGTAAGATATGTCGATTAGAGACCTTCTTGTCTTCTTGCCGTCGTAGTTGTCTCGATTAGCATCATTATCGTCGTTATCGTTATCATTGTATGTTTATCATCTGTCTTACCCAACATGGAGATGAACATGTCGATTGCTAGTAATACATAAACGACATATTCCATGCAAAATTGATCATCTCTTTCTATATACGTGTTTCAGACATATTCGCCTTTCACTTCTACTATGACTAAAGTTAATTTTTATAAACTTTAAAAAATGTGGTCACCACTATCACTGTCGGCAATGTTTTTACTGTTACTCTTGGAATCGACGGTCTTTATATTATTAAGACATATAGCTTCTTTAAATATCGATAATGTTGTTATTAGGTATTCCAAAAAACACGTCTTGAAACAAGATAATCTAACATCCTCCTTCCCGTATGGTAACAATTTTAAAATCGTCGCGAATATATTCTTTCCAAAAGAATCGAGTTAGATATTAATCGAAAACGTTGACATTTTCTCGCCCAACAAGGAGGAATATATATATATAATATATATATATATATATAATATATATATACTATCATACGATTAGGATATACGGGCTCCGTGCGTGGGTGCATATAACCTTCGAGACAATAGAAACACAAAAATAAAACCGATAAGAAGAATTAGAATATCGGTAATGACAATAACACCAACTACAAAACTCTTGTGACGCATGAAGAATCGGTGGCAAATATGTAATGTGTTTTATTAGGGATGTCATTCCTTACAACGCTCAAGTCGATTGTTACGATTTCCGTTGTATTATCATGTGTATATTTTGTCGAAAAATTATCTCCTCATGTGTATACTCTGTCGAAATATCAACCTCCGTATATACTCTGTCGAAATACTATCATCCGTTGTATCATCATACGGATACTCTGTCGATGTGTTATCATTGATAGAGTATCAAAGAACTCTCATGGTCGATTGAGTGTTTATCGTTATCACAAAATTCATCGTCGTTGTTATCGTCACCCTGATCATCGTCATCGTTATCATGATCGTCCTCATCAACAACAGAACACTGGTAGTGATACCCGGTTATGTTTTGAAGGACCATAGATTCTCCAGTATTAGAACCCAACGAAATTTTGACACACTTTCTCTCATGAACGTCCCAACCGCAATACGGATCTCTTAAACTGACGCAGGATTTGCATGTCATGGCTCTGTGGACAGCGTTGAGTGTCAATAGATTTTGCCTCGTCATGCGTTAATATCACCAGCCTCCCTCCTTTACTTTGCTCTTCTCCTACATTTGTTTCTTTCACGAGGTACATGTTAGTTATAGTCGCTGGTCGCGAGAAAATTCGAATCTCTTCGATAATAATCGGCTCTGCAGAATCTATATTTTCGTACGATATAACGTTGATGAGTTTAACTATGGACAGAGCTGCTCCTGCTCCTAAAAAAAGAACATCGATAGTCCGTCCATCTTGAAGCGGACTTGAGGGTCAACGGCGATCGTAGTAAAGCGGTATCCGAATGCACTGACGAATGGGCGGTTAAAAAATCCGGGAACAGCTGCATCCATGAGAGCGTGTGACTGTATGAAGCCGACAAATTCATCGTCGGGAAGAGCCTCATCCGTAGGAATACAAGAACCTGGTCGTCGACTTTTGGGTATCTTACTCCGAGGTACGGGAAGCCAGTTCGATTGTTGTGTTTCCTGTCCCTTAAAATCCCCATCGAAAGTATCCTGAATGGAGCGGATAGAGAAAGCGCACACGGCAGACCCCGAGACGGAGTTGGGCGGCGTTGTGAACACGGCATAGATGATATCGCGAATCTGTCCCCCGTAGGTACCGGTGATGCATTCGTGACCGACTGAACTTCGTCGAAATAGAAGGGTATTCTCCGGGAACAGAACAGTTGAGTCTGCTTTTCAGGAAAGACGTCCATTTGGTCTGGGTCTTCTTATCGCCTCGGTCGTTCTTGCACACGCGAGCAATTCTCGAATAGACCCGTTTGCCGCAGTTTAAGGATTCTAGGGCAGTTTCACGAAAGACGAAATAGATAAAGTCGCCATAATCGAAAGAGTGCACAAAGCTGGGATCGTTAAGCTGTTCGTACACGGCCGCTCTTGTCGTAAGTTGATTCTTGGAAATGACGTGAGTTATACCCTGAAAATCTGCCACCGTCCCGGAATACAACTCGCCACCGGACATACACGTGTGTAGAGTTCTGTCTAGGACCGAAAGGACATTGGCCAACGCCGCTCTTCGTTTCGGTATAATTAAAACTAGCGCCGTCGGCCAGTCGAACGTATCGACGACATAGAGGACTATAAGCGTTTGTGCCACAGACTAGAAAACTGTTCTCCGTCTACTCTCTTTATGACCCGAATATAATTCTGACAATCCTCCTCGTATTTTCCCTTCATTAAACAATCGCGAACGCCTCTCGTCGGTCGGAGGCCATATATTCTTTGGTCTATGTTTTCTTGCATGTCCCTAATCGAAAGGTTATATATCGCATTTCTTCCTCCGACGAGTATAGAATTATCATCTCTCTCCAGCGCTCTAAAGTAGTCTGTGGCGATGCTATTATTTCCTGAGAAGGTCTGTACCTCTGCGTTCTCGGACGATACGATACTGTTGGAGTTGACGATGTTGTAAAAGTCATCACCGACAAAAGCGTATGTCGCGAGAGAAAAGAAAACCAGACCGAAAAGCCGGAACGTCGACATGTTGATATATTCTATGCAAGCGTTCTCTCCCTCCTTCAGCTCTCATGAAGTAAAGAGTCGAGTCCTAGTTTTCAGGATATGTGCTTATTATGGATCCCCGGCCGAGAGCTCCATATATCTTTTCCGTTTCTTTTATCACGATATTATTGTTATGGTCTCTCGGCCGAATGTTTCGCGTATCGTTCCCTTTTCTTAATATTTTTATAATCCATATGTTGACTCTTAATATCAACATTACCATTATAAGTGTTAATCTTCCATATGAGGTTTGGTTTCAGTTTGTTTAGGATTGCGATTCAATGATTTCAGCTTGTGTAAGATTAGGAGTCAAGATAAATAATTGAATTAAACCAGTTTTATTTATAAATATCTGCATATTGCATGTTGTTAGGACTATTGCAGGATTTGTTGTTTTACAATAAGATACCTACATAGATACATATATATATATATACATATACATACATATACACACACCTATATATATATATATCACACTAATAATACACCTATATATACATATATAATCCATAGATGACGCTGATGGGGACGACGACGTCCACGATAACTGCGAGGCGCTTACGAGTACGACAGCCACGTAATGATCATGAACGATATAATGAAGACATGTCTGTCTATCTTTGAGGAACTGTAAGGTCAACGGATTAACATACTTGTATTTGCAGAAACTGTCATGTGATTTATGTTTAATAATCCATAGATGACGCTGATGGGGACGTACGACGTCCACGACAACTGCGAGGCACTTATAGGTGTGTGTATATGTATGTATATGTATATATATATATATGTATCTATGTAGGTATCTTATTGTAAAACAACAAATCCTGCAATAGTCCTAACAACATGCAATATGCAGATATTTATAAATATAAACTGGTTTAATTCAATTATTTATCTTGACTCCTAATCTTACACAAGCTGAAATCATTGAATCGCAATCCTAAACAAACTGAAACCAAACCTCATATGGAAAGATTAACACTTATAATGGTAATGTTGATATTAAGAGTCAACATATGGATTATAAAATATTAAGAAAAGGGAACGATACGCGAAACATTCGGCCGAGAGACCATAACAATAATATCGTGATAAAAGAAACGGAAAAGATATATGGAGCTCTCGGCCGGGGATCCATAATAAGCACATATCCTGAAAACTAGGACTCGACTCTTTACTCATGAGAGCTGAAGGAGGAGAGAACGCTTGCATAGAATATATCAACATGTCGACGTTCCGGCTTTTCGGTCTGGTTTTCTTTTCTCTCGCGACATATGCTTTTGTCGGTGATGACTTTTACAACATCGTCAACTCCAACAGTATCGTATCGTCCGAGAACGCAGAGGTACAGACCTTCTCAGGAAATAATAGCATCGCCACAGACTACTTTAGAGCGCTGGAGAGAGATGATAATTCTATACTCGTCGGAGGAAGAAATGCGATATATAACCTTTCGATTAGGGACATGCAAGAAAACATAGACCAAAGAATAATATGGCCTCCGACCGAGAGAGGCGTTCGCGATTGTTTAATGAAGGGAAAATACGAGGAGGATTGTCAGAATTATATTCGGGTCATAAAGAGAGTAGACGGAGAACAGTTTCTAGTCTGTGGCACAACGCTTATAGTCCTCTATGTCGTCGATACGTTCGACTGGCCGACGGCGCTAGTTTTAATTATACCGAAACGAAGAGCGGCGTTGGCCAATGTCCTTTCGGTCCTAGACAGAACTCTACACACGTGTATGTCGGTGGCGAGTTGTATTCCGGGACGGTGGCAGATTTTCAGGGTATAACTCACGTCATTTCCAAGAATCAACTTACGACAAGAGCGGCCGTGTACGAACAGCTTAACGATCCCAGCTTTGTGCACTCTTTCGATTATGGCGACTTTATCTATTTCGTCTTTCGTGAAACTGCCCTAGAATCCTTAAACTGCGGCAAACGGGTCTATTCGAGAATTGCTCGCGTGTGCAAGAACGACCGAGGCGATAAGAAGACCCAGACCAAATGGACGTCTTTCCTGAAAAGCAGACTCAACTGTTCTGTTCCCGGAGAATACCCTTTCTATTTCGACGAAGTTCAGTCGGTCACGAATGCCATCACCGGCACCTACGGGGGACAGATTCGCGATATCATCTATGCCGTGTTCACAACGCCGCCCAACTCCGTCTCGGGGTCTGCCGTGTGCGCTTTCTCTATCCGCTCCATTCAGGATACTTTCGATGGGGATTTTAAGGGACAGGAAACACAACAATCGAACTGGCTTCCCGTACCTCGGAGTAAGATACCCAAAAGTCGACGACCAGGTTCTTGTATTCCTACGGATGAGGCTCTTCCCGACGATGAATTTGTCGGCTTCATACAGTCACACGCTCTCATGGATGCAGCTGTTCCCGGATTTTTTAACCGCCCATTCGTCAGTGCATTCGGATACCGCTTTACTACGATCGCCGTTGACCCTCAAGTCCGGCTTCAAGATGGACGGACTATCGATGTTCTTTTTTTAGGAGCAGGAGCAGCTCTGTCCATAGTTAAACTCATCAACGTTATATCGTACGAAAATATAGATTCTGCAGAGCCGATTATTATCGAAGAGATTCGAATTTTCTCGCGACCAGCGACTATAACTAACATGTACCTCGTGAAAGAAACAAATGTAGGAGAAGAGCAAAGTAAAGGAGGGAGGCTGGTGATATTAACGCATGACGAGGCAAAATCTATTGACACTCAACGCTGTCACAGAGCCATGACATGCAAATCCTGCGTCAGTTTAAGAGATCCGTATTGCGGTTGGGACGTTCATGAGAGAAAGTGTGTCAAAATTTCGTTGGGTTCTAATACTGGAGAATCTATGGTCCTTCAAAACATAACCGGGTATCACTACCAGTGTTCTGTTGTTGATGAGGACGATCATGATAACGATGACGATGATCAGGGTTGACGATAACAACGACGATGAATTTTGTGATAACGATAAACACTCAATCGACCATGAGAGTTCTTTGATACTCTACAATGATAACACATCGACAGAGTATCCGTATTGATGATACAACGGATGATAATATTTCGACAGAGTATATAACGGAGGATAATATTTCGACAGAGTATACACATGAGGATGATAATTTTTCGACAAAATATACACATGATAATACAACGGAAATCGTAACATCGACTTGAGCGTTGTAAGGAATGACATCCCTAATAAAACACATTACATATTTGCCACCGATTCTTCATGCGTCACAAAGAGTTTGTAGTTGGTGTTATTGTCATTACCGATATTCTAATTCTTCTTATCGGTTTTATTTTTGTGTTTCTATTGTCTCGAAGGTTATATGCACCCACGCACGGAGCCCGTATATCCTAATCGTATGATAGTATATATATATATATATATATATATATATATATATATATATATATTCCTCCTTGTTGGGCGAGAAATGTCAACGTTTTCGATTATATCTAACTCGATTCTTTTGGAAAGAATATATTTCGCGACGATTTTAAAATGTTACCATACGGGAAGGAGGATGTTAGATTATCTTGTTTCAAGACGTGTTTTTTGGAATACTAATAACAACATTATCGATATTTAAAGAAGCTATATGTCTTAATAATATAAAGGACCGTCGATTCCAAGAGTAACAGTAAAAACATTGCCGACAGTGATAGTGGTGACCAACATTTTTTAAAGTTTATAAAAATTAACTTTAGTCATAGTAGAAGTGAAAGGCGAATATGTCTGAACACGTATATAGAAAGAGATGATCAATTTTGCATGGAATATGTCGTTTATGTATTACTAGCAATCGACATGTTCATCTCCATGTTGGGTAAGACAGATGATAAACATAACAATGATAACGATAACGACGATAATGATGCTAATCGAGACAACTACGACGGCAAGAAGACAAGAAGGTCTCTAATCGACATATCTTACATTAATAGAGATGTACTACTTGCAGAAGACTGCAAAAGTTGCGAAAATAGTCTATACAGATCGCCGCCGCCCTATTGGAAAATAGAGTGAAGCCCTTTTCGTTTCTCTTCCTCTCGCGCAATAAAAAAAATCTCAACGACCAATTTGCGGGTGATCCAACGAGCGTTTTCTTCACAGCCGACGAGATTGAGAGTATTTCGATAAGAATTAAGACATCAAGAAAGAACGAAAGGATCAAAATCGTCCTGTCAAAATACAGAAAGAAGATAAAGGACGATTCTACTAAAACAGAAAACGGATTGGTTCTTCGTGCTAGAGCCACAAATATCCTCATACGGTGTGATGACGATAACGATATTTTCATGGACGTCTGCGTGCACATAGTCGATAAAGAGTCGTACGTGTGGATCAAGACGATAGAGAAACAGACAAAGCAATTGAACAAATCGCTGATAGATTACTTGGACGCTCTCGTGAAGATAGACGACAGTGTCTGTCCCGATCGTTTACGGGTAGTAAACGACGTGATAGCATTTAAAGAGAGAATGACAGACAATACACACAAATACTTTCCCGCGTTCAAGTTCAGCGGATCCAGAAAATACGCTGCGATCTCCAGAGCTATAGAGACCCTAGCCAATGAGTGTGAGCCGCATGTCGGTACGCCACAGTATCGTCATGCGACCATCAGGGGACACTGCAGCTACGTCAAGGATAATCACGGAAGCTTCGAACCTTTTATGAACACCATATTGCCCTTACTGGTTAACGAAACCATAACGAATATATGGTTCAACAGGCTATTTTTATCGAATACGCAAAGGGAAGTCGCTACCGATAACGACATCAGATCAACTGGTTTTTTATCATTCTTAAAGGGCGTGAACGAGAAGCAGATAAGACAAAGGTTGTGGATGTGTTGAGAAAGTTCTCAAACGTATGTGTTACTCTCAGAAGGAATAGATTGCCCTTTCCCTTGCGAGAGAACGACCCGACCAATCAAGCGACAAAAAAATACCGCTGTCGCCGACAACCGTTATAACGAGTCGCAGCCGTTTAAGAGACGTACAGTGTATACAATCTCTATCGAAAGGAACAGTTAACGTTAAGAGTCTCTCGTCTCACCGTACTCCGAAAATATCGGGTGACATCGCAGTCGGTAAATATGGCGCTGACGATATCGCCAATGAGACCGATAGTAATAGCAATACCAGTAGACGCCTAGCGAATATAGATGCCGGTCAATATCTACAGTATTTTACGCCGATCGCAAAGGATCTATTCGCCCAATAACAGATGTTAATAAAATAACATTTTAACATAACGCTTGTTTGTATTTTACACCCACACGTCTTCCTATCTGTTTACCCGGTAATGTACCACCATCATCTTCTACCAATAAATATCAACAGCAAGCAATGCTATATAGACCAAGATTACAATATGGTATCATAGGATATTTCGCATCCTATTCAGAGTTGCATCATGTGAAGAGACATCTTTCATAACGTGACCTCTACAAATGCGATAAAACCATCTCTGTATTATAAAATAACAATAGTATACTTGTCGGTATTAGGATCATGAGGGTAAATAAACGGTTGAGTTAAGAATAAAGTCTATTTGTAATTCACCCCAATATTTCTATTCCAACATCTATCATATAGCCTATACACACACCTCGTATAATACGGTATCGTGTTGTGTATTCTTCTCGGTTATCAGTTCAGCTAGTGTGATATTTCGCTGACATAGCTTATTCTACACATGATCGTCAAGAAAACAGGCATCTACGTTTTAACCACCATAAACGTTACCCTTTCATAATCATCGTCGTCGTCGTCTTCATTGCTGTTGTTCGTATTGGTGGAGTTTTCTTTTTCCATCGTCACTATTGTCGCTACTGCCGTCAACGAAGCCAGCATCGTCATCCTCATCATCACGTACATTATCGTCATTGTTGTTTCTATCATTGATGTTGCTATCATTGCAGCGCTCTCGCTGCAGCAACTCGTCGTCCTGCAATTTCCTATAATGATAATAAGCAATGTTGTGCGGGTCAAGATGAGGTGGAGGGTCGCTTCCTATAGGTAGTTGTGCGTATTCGTCCCAATATTGATCACCGGGTATATAATGCGAAGGAGACGTGTTGTACTTCTGATACATCAAGCAGCGTTGTCGCGAATATTATCGTGTATGTAGCGACGGAGCAGCTATATCGTATGTTTCTATAGAGTGCTCAGTTCGTGATTCTCCTTGTCCAGCAATTCCCACGAAAGCGACATTTTTTTCTGATTGTCCATATCAACTACATTACGCCTGCTACACATGTAGACATATATATGTGTGTGTGTGTGTAACCCTCTCCTTTCCCCCGTCTGAGAGAGCAAAAGAACACACAGAATAGCCAGATGTGTTTTATATTCTAATGTTCCCTAATCCGATTATCATTATCGACAACGAGAGTTTGAAAATTAAACGGCTTGTAATGACACCACAAGAAACCGACAGAATATATCTGGCGGCCTTTTCGAAGTTACGTTCATGCGAGGAAACATCTTCTTAAATGTGGCCTTTACAAATACGTAATACATAAATCTGTATATAAAACAATTTCTCTACTAAAAGATATAACGATACACATTTCGGTTTTAATGGGCATTACAGAAAAAGACGTAGAAATACGTTGGAATATCATTCGTATACAAGCGAAAGCTGTATGTGCTAATCTGATCATCTGAAACCGTCATTAATGTTTTCAACCTAAGTGTATGACTCGATTATTTTATCGATGAAGAAAGGTTTATCCTCAGACATCTAATGTGAAAAGATGAAAATAGCAGTGTCGATCTAAAATGCTGTAACGATACGAGAGAAGAAATTTGGTGTACACATAACCATCGCGCTACAGTGTTTCGTGGTATCACGAGAAAGAAAAAAACGATAACGCGAGAGGAGAAGTTGTAACGATCTTAAAATGTTGCGATGATACGAGAGAAGAATTTTTTTATGGCGAAAAAAAGCCGATCTATAAACCATCATCATCATCAGACTCTAGGAGTCGTATAATATTTTGTTGGCACGATAGAGAACATTTTGTTGTCGAAGAAAGGTCCATTCACAAAACGTCTAATACAGAAGGGATATAAGCGACCTCTGTCGATCGTAAAAGAAGATGTTAATAATTTGATGCACATAAGTTAGAAAAGAGAGGAGAAACACCCACAACCTAAAAAAGTCGAGAAGGAAACGTGAAGAAGAATTTGTCGACGAATAAAGCGTTGATATACAAAACGCCATCACACTATAAGTTATTGAATTTGTTCTTCAAAAAATTAAACGGATGTTTCGTTGTGCACGAGAGAGACTAGTCTGTTTGCGAAAGAAGGTGAATCCGCCCAAACGCTAACGTGGAAAAGAGAGGAATCAACTCTGTCGATTTATATATCGGGATGAATACGAGAGAGGAATTTGGTGTGTTGGTGCACAAACGCCATCAGCAAATAAAATATACCGACACAAAACGAAATGTTTTTTTAAAACACACAAAAAGAATAGACATAACGCGAGAGTGAGAAACAGTACAGATCTAGAATAGCTGCGATAATGCGAGAGAAAGAAATTTTGACGTTAAAAATAATATTGTATCTATAAATCGGCAACGACTCTGGAGTACATTTAACAATTTCGCTGTGGTGATTTGCGTGTGTGCAGGTATTCTAATTTAATATTCGTTTCACGAAGAATATATCCTCTCACGTACAAGGTGTGACTAAGTAGATGCAAAGACCTTCACCGTACAGGGAATCGAATAGGTAAAACATAAACAGACAGATTAACCATATTTCAATTAATAAGTGACAGTAATAAGGAGAACAAGTCACGACGTCCATAGAAATGGTGTTAGGATTCAGCTCACCATGGAACACGGTCCGCATCCGTGAATCGCTTCCCGATGACGAAGCGCGACTCTCGGGCAACACGTCCCA